TGATTTTAAGAAAGATTTTTTTAAAAATAGAAATTTTACTTTTGGGACAATATTGTCTGATAAAAAGTTAATTTATATACATGTTTAAGCCAGAATGATTTGACGTTTAAATATGACTTTTCTACAAGTTTAACAGAACCTCATTTAAGAAGTTCAGAAGCATCACTTAAACTGTTGTTTTCTAATATTCAATGAAATAAAATGTGAGAGAAAGCTCCAGGGAACCACCAAACCTCTGTCGTTACTAAAACTGCACTGTCAGTTTCCAATGGCTTTCTTTAGTTGAACGTAGCTGTAGACTTTGCATGCTATCTCTTCAATTTCAGACACCTCTCCACGCTCCATCAAACATGCAAACCAGCCATCACCAAGGTAGGCCTGGTCTGAATAACCACTGGGACCCTCGTTAAGGATCCAAGGGCTGCTCCACGCATTTGGATCCGGTGGGGATTTGTTAATATACACCCCTAAATCCACTCTTTTGGACTGACTGGTTGGATGGGAGTAAAGCAGCCACCGAGGCTCCGGATTCGAACCAGGCTGAGCCGGAAAGGAGACCACACTCCCCTGACAGCCTCGACCTGTTTCCACGAGCTGCTCAGCGGACGGTAGGGTGATGAAGTCCTCTCCTCCGTTGTCGCTGACTGCCTCCACTCGATAACCTCCCTCATTGCGAGCATTGCAGTAAACGTAAGCGCCACCTTTGCTATCCAACACCTCAGCCATTTCACATTCCACCGATTTATCATCCAGGAGGTCGCCCAACTGCCACGTGACGCCTCGGTCGTCGCTGTAGAAGCAGAACGCGCGTGAAACGGCCAAGCCACACGAGATGCAGGTGAAGGAGGGGAAGCGGGAAACGTAAGCGTAGGCGGGGACGATCAATCTACCGCTCTCTGTTTGGAGGCCGTGACCCGGACCCACGGCAAACGTCGCCCACTTTTTGGTTTGAGGGAAATTTTCTGTCAAATCGGTGACCGAGCTCCAGGTGTCACCGGCGTCTCTGGTTGTGATGTAGCAGAGGCGGGCCTTGTTGATGCCCCAGAACCTCTGCCATGTTTCAGAAGCACTGTCTTCAACGCAAATGAAAAACAAGAAGAGGGTTTTGGTTGTCTTGTCGTAGACCGGGCAGGGATTCATGGGGCGACGTCCACCAAGATGTCCCTTCTCCACCACCTTTCTGGACTCGGACCACTGCAAAGAGACAATGCCAAGTTAAAACAGATGATACAGCAATGAAACAGTATGCAGGCTTTGGAGGATTACCTGAACACTTATTTCATGAGTGAGTTCCTCTTTCATCAGCGTTCCTGTTTTCATAACCAGATCCTCTGTACTGGCATCGTTTGAGGTTCTCCTCTTCTCTGCAAAGGCCAGCAGAACCTTTTTTTCTGGGTGATAGAACAGAGCAGGAATCCTGTACACCTCATCGTTGTTGGAGAGAAAGACGGTGCTCCGCTGCTCATAAGTCCCAAACGCTTTCCTGTCCATGATTTTCACCTGTGGACAAAACAGTCGAACAGTATATTTTATCAGGCAAAGTCCTGCTACTGTTAGGGAGGAGACTTTACGACAGGGAAGATAAGCAATAAGTGCTATAATAAGATGCCTTGGTTATAGGAAAACAAGGTTAAAGTACGATGCAGTTAGCTTTAGTGTGATTATCTAGAATAAAGGGCAGGAAAAGGGGCGGGCATGTAGATAAGATCCACAGCTTATCATATCAGTAATAGGTGACATATCTCCAAAGAATAATAAATTAAACACTAGGACACTGTCTGTGTGTCTGGTCGGTCAGCGCCGAACAAACCGGCTAATAAATCCTATAAACTGGATAATTTAACCAAATTCCATTCAGTTTATTTCTATAGCACCAATTCACAACACATTTCACCTGAAGGCACTTTACAGTTCAACCAGATCATCCAGTCAGATTGATTCAACGTTTTCTATCTAAGGAAAAACAGTTGATTGCTTTAACTCATTGACTCAAAGGCAATCCCTCACACTAAGCATGGTTGTAGCGACAGTGGAGAGGAAAAACTCTCTTTAAACAGGAAGAAACCTCCAGCAGAATCAGGCTCAGTGTGAGTGGCCATCTGCTGAGGCCGACTGGGGTTCAAGGAGACAGAAGCAGAGATACAGAAATAAAAGGAACTTGTCAACCAGAAACAATCTTGGCAGTATCATTAACGGATTTTCTGCTTCAGGTAAAGAGGCCAAAGTGAGATTCGTTTGAACTGAAATCCTCAGTAGATCCTCGACTGCTAATTTGAAACATTGATCCAAAGATTTCTGCTCAAATCCACTTTATGTTGTTGGTTTTAAGGATAAAATGATATAATCTTCTGACATGGGAGCTAACAGTCCTTCTAGGGCTAAATTTAAACAGCTTCTTTAAAGACCACAAACAAACCTTTGAGGAACATTATGCACTTTATCCTACGTCAATAAAATTGTCCCTATCTTCTATTTTGATTGAGAAAACCTTTATCTCAGCTGAGCTCCTTCACCGTACCTCTAGGCCACTTCAAGTCCCTGATTGGTTGTCGAAACGCAACTAAACACTAAATCTCAGATTTTCTGACTCCAGCAACAGTCGCTGCACATCCATCACCTTAATTAGACCTTTCGCATTGTTAGAAGCATGTCTGTCGAACCGCTTTGCATCATCCTGAACAGGCCTTTACATTGGAATGAAATGTAAATTAATCACACCTGCTTGTGGAAATGTATTCTATGTCAAAATGAAAGCTGTTCTGGTTTTGTATTTACTTTGACTCTAAAACCGAACCCATGGCCACACCTGATCAGGGGTATTGATTCACTTACATTTATTTATTCATTTGGTCACAATGATGCATGATTGAGTTAAACACCAGAATTTCACCACTGGGGGAAAATAAAGGGATTTTCTATTGTATTGTATTCTATTCTATTCTATTCTATGCATTTGTTGTTTTTTTGTAATTGTAATTGTACTGATTTTTTTCATATTTCTATCCTCCCTCTTCTCATTTGGGTTTGTGATCATTATCAAATATTGTTTTCCTGGTAGTTTTCCCCTAACAAAGATGGCAGCTGGAGCGCAAAGCATCATAAACAGAAAATATTATATATATAAATATTATAATATACTGACTACTTCTAGAGAAAAATTCTCTAGTTTCTTCACTTTAAGTTGCTTTTTTGATTTTGATTTCCCTCTTTGCTTTGGTCAGAGGTGTTAAAATTACTCATAATCTTTACTTAAGTAAAATTAAAGATACTAGTGTAAAAAAAACACCTCTGTTAAAAGTAAAAGTACTGACTGAACTCCTTTATTTAGGTAAATATAGAAATTACAGGTTGTTTATTGAATTTAAGTACAAAAATAATATAAATGAATAAAAAACAAGGTTTTACTTTCATTTTTCTTTTGATTTTCTTTTTTTTCAGATTTTCTGAGTTTTATGAATTGTCTTCCTCTCAAATTGTGTTTCAGCGATCCCATTCTCTCCCTTCAAGCCCAAACACTCATTATCGACGTACATTGACAGTGAAAATGTTGCTAGCGTCCAGCTGACCAGTAGAAATGTGTTTTCAACCCTTACCCCAGAGGAGAGCCCGCCCCCAGGAGTGAAATTCATAAAATCAATCTAAAAAAATAAATAAAATAAAGTAATAATAATTTGAAAATATAAAATCTCTATTTATTTTGTAAAAAAAAACAACTCATTTTTGGTGGGGGAAAAAAGTAATTTGAACGTTCAAAACCTGTAAAAATGATTGAAAAAATTTAATATAAAAAAAAAAAATCAATAAATGAAACAAAGTTCCTCTCAAAATCTTTTTTTTGTTCAAAACTTTCTTACAGTTTCATATCTCAATGACAGTTTTTCAGATTTCAATTTACGAAACATGTTTGTTGCTCAGAACAATAATGGAACAAAATTCACTCCATATCCTTTAGGTCATATCTTTGCTCTATTGGTTATTTTCTACTCTTATCAGAGCATAAATAAAAATGCTCTCAGATTGGAGTTGTTTTAAAGAACTCTGTTGTTGCATGATTGCATAACTGGAGTCAAGATAGTGAAGTCAAACGTTTTGAGGTTTTATCTCATGAGCAGAGTTTGTGTTTATGTGGCTCAGCTCCATGCAGATAAACATTTATGTTATAAAACAGTATAATGCATTGAGGTATTGTTTATTGCTTCTCTTATCATGAATGCATTAGAGACCAGAAATCTGTGGCAGAAGGTATGTTGCTCAAACATGGTGAAGAATCAGGTTCAGATTTCTTCCTTTTTTTATTCTGAATATTTGAATATTTGACAAAAACACTCTGTTCTATAAATTACCAATTTTAATACTTTGCTCAAAAAATAACAAACAGTTTTATGGGTGTTTTTTTGTGGAGAAAAACATAATGAAGCTTGAAAATATCAAAGGTCCTGGACTTTAAACTCAATAACAGACGGTGATGGAACAAAATATTGTATTTAACAAAAACTCCCATAATTTCTGGAAATGAGCATGACTCACATTCAGAGTAAACATCATTCCTTAATATAATTTATAATGCAAAGGTGTAATAATGCAACATGCAAAAACATAAAAATAATAATACAATACACTGGATGACAAAGGTATATGAGGATTCGGGCAAATGGTGCCCATCTACATGGGCACCATGAAGGTTTCTGTCTTTTTTAATGAAGAAAAGACAGAAGTCATGGTCTTTGGTGGCACATCTGTGAACCGGTGTGAACTGGTTCAAAATGCTGCTGCACGTCTTTTAACTGGCACACGCAAGTACGAGCACATTTCACCTATTTTAGCTTCACTCCCCTGGCTGCCCATCCATTTTAGGATTCATTTTAAAATTCTTTTATTTACTTTTAAAGCCTTGAATGGCCTTGTCCCATTTTACCTCTCTGAGCTGC